CTCATTTTGTGCCTTTTTCCATCTCAGCTGCAAGCCCCTTGGGCTTCCCATCACCAGATCACCCGTGTGCCATCACCATAGTCCAGTGCATTTCCCTCCCCCCGCTTTTTCTGAATTTTTTTAACTGAATACACTTGTCAAAACAAGGCTACCATAACAGGCTGTATCTACCGAGTGGCCCGCTGGAGGGCTGAGCTGGTCAAAGGGCCACAGACTCCCTCGAAAATTGCCACGTTCCAGCCAGCGGTGTGCAAGGAAGGGGCCCAGCTTTGCAGCCTGGCCTGCCGCCCCCACAGCAGGCCCTGCACCCTGGGATCACAGCTCCCCCCCGCTTCTGCCCCTCCACACTTCCACAGAGCCTGGGGGGCGCCAGGAAGACAGGTCAGGGGGGCAGGGCAGGCCGACACGCGCTGTGAGCGCAGCAGCTCGCATACCTGGCTCCATGAGTTCCGAGGCGGGAGCGAAAGGGTCGATGTAAGGGAAAAGCCTCTGGCCTGCCGCTGGCAGCGGGGCCGTCCTTCCAGGCACGTAGAACATCAGGGGCACGCGCGTGCTGACGTCAAAGTTGCTGTATTTGGCCCACTCTCCGTGTTCGCCTAGAGCCCACCCTGGTCAGAAACACAGCACATAATGACCAAACACGGTGCATGACGCGCAACTCGCTGGTCTCAGACGCCTTTTCGCGTCCAGTGTCCCAAGCTCGTCACCTGCAGGGAAAGCAGGCTTCCTCTCGAACTGCCACAAAAAGGGCGCTTTCCCTGAACACCCATCTTCAGAGGACAGGTGTTCTGAGAAAGGAAGCCTTCACAGGGAAAGTAAGTACCGAATTCCCAAACTAAAGGAACTGAGTTTGGCAGGGAGCTAGCCCCGTGCGGCCGTCTGGGAGCGCGCAGACCCAGCCCTCGTCATCACTGCCTGGCCCGGGCCCACCGAGCTCCTGCCGCCGCCCCACAGCTCGGGGTTTCGCTTTGGGAGCGTGGGCCGTGAAGTCTTGTCGCCCACATTAAAAAGCAAAAAAAGGCAGGGAGAGCTCGTCCGGCGTTTAAGACGCGCCGCGGACAAACCCCTCTGATGCTGGCAAGGGTCCCATCCTGGCTGCATCAAGACCACCCTGAACACTAATTTAAAATACACTTTGCCAAAGACAGAAAAATACTCTAAGTTGGAAATTCACAAATCTTTGTATGTTTGCACTCTTTTTTGACATAAAACATGTGAAAGACAGAAAGCACATAGAGCATTCTGTGTCACAAAATAACCAGAGCCACACAAACCTGCCATGGCGGGTTCGAAAGGCTTTCGGGGTTGGCTGTAGGAAGAGCCCCCGAGAAACGCTGCTGAAAGAGCGCGCAGCTGCACCGAGCACAGAAACCCTGCAAGTGGGTCCTGCTCCACGGGGCACAGTGGCCCGTGCTGGCCAGGAGACGGGGCACCGAGCAGAAGGGTCACCAGGGGGTGGCAGGTCGTCAGGGAAGCAACAGAAAACTGATGCGCCTCCATATATAATAAAGTAACACGCAGGATTGTCTACTTTGCGTGCAAAAAACAAAACGCACCCACAACGCAATGGACGCTGCCCTGGGCCGGGAGACGGGGCACTCGCCAGGCCACACTCGCCAGGCCGCGCCACGTGCATAGGCGGGCAGCTCCAGTCAGCCCTGGCCGCAGAGGCCACAGCACAGAGAGCTCAGCCCCCATCACAGGCTGTAGTCTTTGCCCCCAGTGGGCGCACGCTCGGACCTAACATCGACGTGGTGTGTGACAAGAACGAGGCATCGTCTCCCTGCTCCAGTGACACTGCACGTGGTCGTGCTTTGGGAGAGCCGCATTTGTGAGATACTCTTTGGAAAACTGAACAATCTGATTTACCTGAAAAAAACCTCAGGAGCAACTCAGGATGAGATGAGTAAGACTGATCAGGGAGGGGAGCCTGGGTCGGGAGCAGGCAAGGGGTGGTGTTTTATTCTCTACTTTTGAGCATGTTTAAAAATTTTCAAAGCGAAGCTAATAAAGATGTGTCCACTTTTGGGAAAGGGGGAGACCGCGCTGGGGGTGACTGGCAGTGACGAAGCCCCAGCTCTCGGCTGGGCGCTGGGGGAAGGCACACCCAGGTGAGGGCTGTGCTGGCAGCCCTCCACCCCTAGAAATGGCTAGAAGAGGGGTTGGAAGGGCCCCCCACAACTGGAAGCTGCTGCTGAGTTCACCAAGAGAAAAGACGTCACCTCGAGGTTTTCCCCACTGGCTCCCTGGACCCGGAGGCCTCGCCTCCAGGGGAGGGGTCCCAGGACGAACAGGGCCATCATAGTGACCCCCAAAGCCCCAACCCCACTGATCCCAGAAGAGAAGACCCTGTGTTTAAGAAGGCAGAAAAGCCCCGAGGCTGGTAGGGGTCCCCAGGCATTCCCCAGCACTCACCGTGATCTGAGGTGAGCACGACCATGGTGCCAGCAGCCAGCTGCAGGTCATCCAGGGCGCCTAAGAGGCGGCCGACCTGGGTATCCACGTAGGAAACTGACGCGAAGTAGCTCTGGCGGATCTTCCGCTGCAATCCAAAACAGTAATGATGGTGCCTGAGTTCAGTGGCTGGGGCAGCTCACCCCCAGCTCCCCGCGCCACCCTCGGCGGGCCACCCCCCCCATGCCCTCGACCGTCTTCTCCACCCAACCCCAGCGCGTGCTGCCTCCCCATGCCTGTGGTCACGAGCAACCCATACACCCCAAAACAAATGGGACACGTCCACAAGTCCCATTTGTTTTCAAGCAAATCGGTTTTTACTTTAGCAGAGACCTCGGCAGAAAGTGGCACAACTGTCCCCTCTCCGAGCAGGGTGAGCAGGTCTTTCCTGGCATGAGCCTGGGCCCAGCACAATGGGGCTCCGGCAGGGAGCCGCCCAGGCACCTGGCATGTCACTGCGCCGGGCACACGCTTGCTCAGTGAACAAACCAAGCCACGCCTGCATGGCGGCTCGGAGAGGTGCGCCGCAGGGGCAGGGCCAGTGCGGATTTGAGGGCGGGGAGACCAGTAGGGGAGGGGCAGGGAGGAGGAGCACTGCAAGGCCGCCAGGTGTGGCATTCAGCTGAGCCAGGCCCTCAAGGCAAAGCAGCAGCCACAACAGGCCACTGCTGGGATGGGGGGGCAAGGCTGGGCAAGGCCCTGCTGCTCTTCTGAGACCCCGGAAACCTGGAGCCCAGGCCTGAGCACACCCCCACAGGCATGCACAGGTGCAATTCCAGCTGTTGGTAAGGGAGGCTACCAATAGTGCCACTTACCAACTACTTGCTGGGCAGCATCTGACCCGCTGAACCCCCTACCAGGTAAGTGTGACCACTCCCATCTTGCACACGAGGACGCTGAGGCTCAGCAAAGTTCATTAAAGTATCTGGACACAGCTGGCAGGGGGCGCAGCCCGAGTGTACACCTACGCCAACCCTGTGCAGTCCCCTCCCTCAGGCCGAGCCCCAGCCTGGGTTTCTGCAACAGGAAGTGTGGCTATCAGCTGAGACCCGGTGGTCAAGGGCAGAGAGCTGATGGGCACTGGCAAGCTGCACAGCAGCTACAGAAGGCAGATTAGAGCCCCACAGCAGGCGGGGCTGGAGGCTAGTGTGAGCACGGGTCCCATCAGGACTCAAATCCAGAGCGCTAGGAAGCAACACGAGTGACCTGGGCATGAGCCAGCTGCCCCTCCCCGCCGCCTGGACCACAGAAGGAGCAGCGGCCTTGCGGGTTCTGAGGGCCGTCACGAAGGAGGGCAGCCCAATCACCCACTGCGCTTCATGCCAATGCGGGTGCACACGTTGAAGACACTGCCCTCACCCTCCCACTGTGGCCTGCCGGTCAGAACAGTCACATGATCAGCAGTGCAGGCTCTAGGTGGAATATTCCTGAAGGAGCATGAGCAGGGAGACAGTGGCTGTTAAATCAGCAGGACAATTCTTAATTCTGGGGCTGCTCCACCCCACATCATGGCCAGTGGGCACCAAACGTCTCAGCTGGATGGCACCTGCTTCGTGCCCGGCTCCATCTCTGCCAAGGCCCTGCTAGTTAAGCTGTGCCCTGAGCGGGATGGGAGCCTGTGGAGGTTCTGCCGCAGAGGGTGGACAAGGACCAGCAGAGGAGTATTCTGGGCTGGGCAAAAGCTGCCCCCAACCCTAACTGAGGAACTCACCTGGACAAAAGAGCATCCCCCACGAGTCACTGAGGGTCGCCCAGGCCTCTTCTCCCCACCCAGTGCCCACATGGAGCCAGGCATCACCACTTTGGGGACCCGCCACTCTGGAAGTGCAGACTCCACCTGGGCATGCCCCAACTTCCCCCAGGCCCCCTGCCCAGCACGTCAGCAGACACCTTGCACAGAGAAGGTTCTTAGTAAGAGAGGAAGGGCCGAGGGTGAGGCAGGGGTGCCCACCGAGAAAAGCAGCGCCGGCTTTAGCACACGAGGGGCGGGCACTTCGCGCAGGTATGTCTCCGTACCTGGAAGTCCTCGGGAACCGGACCATAGGGCACGCTGAGGTTTAACGCCTGGACGTCCTCCCGCTGCCTGATGTCCATCCAGGGATTGTAGGCCACGGGGGGGAGGCCGGCAGGGACCTGGGGATCAGGAGCCAAGGGGATACTCTCCAAGGGATACAGCTTCTGAAACTCCTGGGGAAGCACACAGAGCCACCACTCCGTTACTGGTGGTCAAGCCGCCAGGCTAGCGCTCACACCTCCTTTCCTCTGAGCGTCTGGGGCATTTCCGCAGACATGTGCCAGCACCTGACAGGCCTTGAGGCGCGCTCACAGAGACCAGTGGGACCGGATCCACGTGACCTCGGTCTGCTACAGATGCAGCAGTGCTGAAGCTCTTCCTACAGCCGAGCCCGCCGCCTCCCTGTCTGCACCTCCCTCCAAGAAAATGGGTGGAGGAGCTGTGGGTTCCAAAGGGACCCCTGCAGTGGGCCATTCCCAGGGAGACCCCCCAGAGCTCAGCACAGTCCTTGCAGCGGAAGTTGCTGGTGGTGGATGGGGACACCCCACATCATCAGCAAAGGGAAAAGGTGGGGTGGGGGCACCAGGCACCAGCTTCCAGCGTCGTCTCCCAGGGAAGTCCTAGAGAATGCCCTTCACTTCCACAGCACTGGGTGACACACTAACCCTGGCAGGGACTTTGAGCTCATTAAAACCGCAGAGCCCGGGGTTTGGGCGGGACATGCAGCCGAGGCACCTGCTGCCTGCACATTCCCTCGCCCCGATCCAGGCAGACACTGACAGTCGTGCAAACCGTGAGGCATCATGAGGCCCTCTCAGGCGTTCTGAGAGAGGGGGCAACACTCCTGAGATCCGGGGCCAGCCAAGGCCACCCCTGGAGGCAGGCCTTCCCAGGGCGCCTCCTCAGGCTGGCTGGCTCAGCTCTTCTCCGCCCAAGAGGCAAGAGAAGTGCACCTCCTCCAACAAGGGGTTGGCAGCTCCTGCCGGGAAAGCGGGCACCTCAGGGCCAGCCAAGCAGGCACGGCATGGCACAGCATGGCCTGCAGTCTCTAAGAGGGAGGCTGCTCGAGCCCAGGAGAAAAACACAACAGGGAAAAAGTCCACGAGCTGTCCAAAGGAAGAGTCGGCATGCTCTAGACGACAGCCCAAGAGCACAGGACCGGCGGTGGCGGCCGGCGGGGCGAGGCCCATGTTAAGGGGTCTGACCCATCGGCTCTGGGGTAAAGGTGAAGAGACCTTCTCACTGTGCCCCAGGGTCACAGCCCATGGCTACCTCTTGCACACCTGGCTGGCCGGCTCTACTGCTCCTCTGTGACGATGGCACCACCCCACCCAACATGAACTTGCTCGTGCAGTTCAAGAACAAGGAAAGCAACCCTCTGAGGAAGCAGAAAGTCAAGCGCTTCCCACAGGGTTTGGCACACCCAGAGCCAACCCTTCGCCTCACCTCTGACTGCCACCTGCACACGGCCGGGCACACTAGTTTGCCAGGCATCCCCGGTGACGGGGGAGAGGGTGGGGGGGTCAAGAAGTGGAAAGTGACCACTGCACGACACAACCCTTCCCTCAACAAAGGCCGCAGCTGTCAGGCTGCGCAGGTCTGCCCTCAGCAGGTCCTCACCTTCGGGTACCTGAAGGGTATGTGTGGCTTGTGGTACCCTACAGCCAGGAAGAAAGGCTCGGCCAACATCTTCATCTTTGCCAGCAGCTGTACGGCTCGCTTGGTGCTCTGTTTGTCAGGCAAGGTGCCCTCGGGCACCTCTGCCACATCCACGGGGCAGAGCAGGTTGGCATGGAGTTCTCCATCTGGTCCCCGACAAGTCTGTCAAAACGAGACATAAAGGTCAGCTTCTCAGGCACACGGGTCACAAGGCGGCCTGTACCCACGGCAGCAGCCTTGCGGCTCGGCCGTTCAGAGGCAGCGTGGCCGTGGCAGGCAGCTGCTTCCTCTCCGGGCACTTAGCTGCTGGCTGCCAGTTCTGAGGCCAGACCAGAACCCGTGAACGGAAACCTAAGGACATAATGATGAAAACAATGTCTCCAATTCAACAGTTCGTACAACAAATAATCCAATTTTTAAATTTTATTTTATATACTTTTACATTATTCTTCATTTTGTACATTTTCTCGTCTCAGTTGTAATCCCAGAAACTTCCCACCACCACTTCACCCCTGTGCTCCCTAATTTTAAAAACAGGCCAAGGACTTGAAGGAACGTTGCGGCACAGAAGACAGACAAATGGCCACCAAGCTCGCCCCACTGCTCAACACAGACGGGCAGCGCCACCGAGTCGATCCCACCGCCCAGCTATGGCTATCGTTTCGGAAAGTGGGAAAGGCACTAACTGTCTCACAGCTTCCTTTCTCTCCACGATGCCTTAACATGGAAAGACCCGCCGGAGCTGTCAGCACTTGGACGTGTCCATGAGGCCCAGGAGGACGGGCAGACGGACGGAAAGACCGGTGGACGAAAGGCACACGAGGGTCGGAAATGCCCTGCGAAGCTCGCCGTCCACCAGCTACCTCCTGAGTGCTGGACAGGAAACGCGGTGCTTACCTTGGCGTTTTCGTACTTCTCGGAGGAGGGATGGAAAGGTGGGATGGACCAGCTGTATGGGGAATCGTCGCTGTGGTTGGAAGAAATCCCTGCGGGGAGGAGAGGTCAGTAAGTGAGGCGTGATGTGCCTAAGGGCCCTCCCTGCCCAAGTTACACTCTGCAAACAACCCCGCGGCCTCAGTTCCCACACCCCAGGCCAGAGCTAGAGTACTCCCCACAGCAGCCAACCTTCAGCTTCCCCCCGAGGGCTGAGCCTGGAAGGGTTGCACAGCCCTGCAGGGCCAGGCCCAGGGCCGGGGCCGGGGCCTCACCCACCCACTGGAGGAAGCAGCGGAGGCATGGACACCGCTGTCAGCTAGGCGCCGGCCTGGTGCCAGCCAGGGGCCAGACAAGTGAGCAGCTGCAGAGCCGACAGCACAGCTGTGAAGACGGACAACACGTGAGAGCAAGAAGGGCAATGCCGGCCGTGCGCCTGCGGAGGAAATCCACGCCCGGCATTGGCTGGCTGCAGCTGCTCCCAATTCTCAGCCTCGCTGCAAGAGCCGTTAGGGACCGTCCGCCAAGATCACCCATCGGGACTGGAAGCTCTCCAAACTGTACCGAATCAACTACCCCATGTCCCGCTAGTCACATCACATCCTTGGACGTGACCACCGCAGCAGGCCCCTGGCGGCGCAGCTACCCAGACTGTGGACCCAATGGGCGGGTTTTGGCCCTAGGTCTGCAGTGACTACAGCTGTTCTGACGATGCTGCACCCAGAAGCTGACTAGGCCACAGGTCTCAGGAAAGTGAGGGAAGCGGGCCTCTCTGAGGCTCCTGCAGATTCTGCTGGCCGCATACAACATGAGAACGCGGCGGCCCGACCCTCAGAGGAAGTTAGTGTCAATACCTCCCAGCTAAAGCGGCTTTAGAAACAAGCTCCACCATCAGGTGGTTGTATGAATACATCAAGAGGGAAAAAAAGCAGCACCACTAAGGGGGACGGCCCCAGGCACAGAGCTGACTCGGGATCTGCTGAGGGCTTCTAGAAGCCACTGAGGCTGGCCAGAGACGTGAAGGGATGTGCTGCCCGAGGGCCATGAGAGGAGCAACAACAGGGGCTGTCACAGGCAGGGACAGCAAAGGCTGGGGCGCTGCTGGGGCCAGCAGGGCACCTGGCAGGCTCACCAGCACAGCGGGCAGAGCAGAGGCCTACAGGCCTGGACTTGAATCCTGGCTCTGCTCCCGCGGCACCCAGGCCACTGTGGCCTGCCACCTGACCTCAGCCTCAGTCCTTCTCAGGAAATGAGTTGGAGAAGCAGCCACAGAGCACACCCCTGGCGCTCAGTGGGGCCCCATCATCTCTGAATGGGCAACCCTGACAGAGCAGCCTCGGAAGCCATGCACTGTTCCCACAAGCAGCGCAGGCGAAATTTCTGTCTTCCAAAGGCTGGGCCCAAGGAACCTTCATGCAAAACCCAATTATGGGGAAGGAGGCGACCCCACTAGACCCTGGTGGCATCTCTCCCCTAGCGCTGACCCCCTCTTCAGTAGTTCCTTCTCTCTCCCTCCAGGCAAGGGGCGCCAAGACACAGCCCAGAGCTGTGAGAAGCTCCCTGGAGGTGGTGGCAGCTGCCCCACAGGGGTCTGCTCAGACTTACCTTCAAAATGACCCAACTTAGCTGACCCAATGTCACCCTCAGCGTGCCCCAGGCCTGGCTGCTGAGTCGCCAGTGTAACCGGTGAGCCCAGGGAGGCTGCTGAACCAGTCAAGTCCTCACTCCTGATGAGAAGCCCGACTGTCCCTACGGGGATCAAGTTTTCCTTCCTTCTCTGCTGTGCCTCTTTTTGGCTTGAGAAGCCTCGATCTTTACAGGCACTGCGACTACTCCTAACACGACTGGGTGGCAGAGGTGCTGGAAGCAAGGAAGAGGTTCACAAATGAGAAACCCCGAGTCTCTTCCGGTATCTGGGCCGTCTTGTCAAGCAGTTTCAAGTTTGAGGGTTCTTGGCTCACTTCTAAGTATTTCAAGAACTCTACAGATTCAAACATAATTCATGAAGCCTTTGAAATCGCCACAGATAATTTTGAATGTATTTTCTCTAAGGACTCAAATTCTTCCTTCCTGCAATACTCTACCGCTGATTAAACTCACGGCCTGGTTTCAATTCCTGAACCAGAGGGCACGGAGACTCCCCGGGAGCTGGGCAAGGGAGCTCTGACGCTCAAAGCGGATGAACCATCTGCCCAAGGTCAATCCAAGTAGCAGAGCTGGAGTGGAACCGAGGGGCCTGGACCCCTGCTCCTGGTGCTGGGCACGTGGGACCATGTGCGACAGCAAAGACCTGACCACAACTCGGGCAACAGTGGCAGTCTCCGGTCGGACTAGCGGGCTGTTGCTAGTGGACAGTGGCTACACAGAAAAGGTGAAATCCTACACACCGGGAATAGCCAATCAGAAAAAGAATATGCCCAGAAAGGTGGGGGGCGGGGCGCCCAACTACAGCTCCTGTGAGGGTGCTGCACTGGCCACGTGACTTCCATTCTTTATACTTTCCTCTTTTTGACTTCGTGTCAATCATGCAATTCCTCCCTAAGTTTAAAAAAATAAAAAAGTCGCGCGTCTGGCTGTGCCTCAGCCTTCTCACATTGGCAGCAAAAAGAGGTGCGTGCCAGGCAGGTGGCCATGCTGGAGGTCAGGATGGGCAGCCCGGGCAACCTACAGGCAACCTACAGGCCGGATGCCAGCTCGGGGCCTCTCTCTGGAGCCATCCTTGCCAAATTGCAGTGCTGGTGGGTGATCCTCGAATGTGCTGACTCAGCCCCCAGGGGGCGCTGGGGGGGGGGCTGACACACAGCCAGATGCTCCCCAAGAGTCCCGCCTCCTGGAGAGTGCCCTTCCTTCCACCTGAAGTGCGAAGGGACCCAAGAGCACCAGCACTCATCTCTGAGAGGGAGAAACTCCCAGGCACTGCTCGTGAGAACGGGAAGCCAGCAGAGAACGCACATTTTGCACCAAGGAGGCAGCCACTCGGGAGGGGCCCACCCAGCCCTAAGAGCCCTCTGTTAAGCAGCACCAGCCCCAGGAGGTGGACCCCACACCCGGGGTGAACCAAGACAAAACCCAGATTCAGGACAACAGGCAGTACCAGGGTGAAAGACTTTTCCAACTGACGCGGTCACGTAGCCATTCTCCTTGAAGTACTGGGGGATGGTGGAGAAGTTCCCAGCGTGCACCCTCCAGTAGGAATTGAAGTCATAGAGGCGGGTGGTATCAGGCCTCCTCCCGGTGAGGAAGGACACGCGGCTTGGGGCGCACACTGCCTGCTGCCAGGGAGCAGAAGCAGAGGTAAGTGTCCTCAGAGGACAGCGAGGCGGAGCTAGTGGTAACCAAGCAACCACTGGAGTCCTTGGCAAACAGCTTGGCAGCTGAGTCATGCAGATCTCGGAGTCAAATAAGGATGGGGGCCTCACCCACACACCATAAGTAAGGCTTCTGGGGCACAGGAAGGGAGGGCGGGAGGAAACAGTCCCGCAAAGCAGCGGGAGATGATGGCTGCTGCATGATGGCATCTCACAGGCAAACAGAACAGGCAGTGGGGGGGGGGAGGAGCTCCCTGAGGGTCTGGGGAGGGGAGACACCATGGCCAGCTGGCTGGCACTCTCTTCAGGTGCATTCTGCAGGTGCCATCCTTCTCACTCCATAACATTCCCTCTTTGGGGAAGAGAGGTGTGCAGGGCCGACCCAAGCACACCCTCCACCCACCCAAGGAAGAGGGCACTTTTGCAGGCATACAGTTCCTTTGCTGGGAAAAAAGCCCGGTTCTCAACTGCCCTTTGCAGGCTATGCGTCCCTCTAAGCAAGATGCCAGGCAAGGAAGAGGGGCACCTTTGCAGGCATACACTTCCTTTGCTGGGAAAAAAAGCACGGTTTCCAGCTGCCCTTTGCAGGCTATGCATCCCTCTAAGCAAGAAGCCAGGCACAAGCAGACCCTGTAACAATAGCTTAAGGGATGCCCCGCCCTGCCCCACCCTCAGTGCCCAAGGCACATACCACATCACAGGGCCCCACACCTACCTGGGCAAAGGCATTGTGGAAAAGGAGGCTGTGGGAGGCCAGCTGGTCAATGTTTGGGGACCTCACGAGCTGGTCCCCATAACAGCCCAAGGAAGGGCGCAGGTCGTCCACGATGATGAGGAGGACATTCAGAGCATCTGCACAGGAGAGTGGGGGCTTCAGCCAGAGCACCGGCCCTGCTACTGAGCCCCGCCCTCCTGAGTTCTGGGGTCTGATAGGCCCAGGCCTGGCCCCTGCACCATGACAGACCCACCAGCCCAGCCTGGGGGGGGGGGTGGCCTGGACTGTGCCCCTGGGTGGAGGCGCACAGAGGAATGGTCCTGGGAGGCAGGGTGTCAAGGGAGGCAGGCCAGGGTGTCAAGCCAGGATGGGAGAGGGAGGCAGGAAGAAGAGGGAGAGAGAGGGAAGGAGGGGGGTGGGAAGGGCAGCCGCGGGGAGGGAGAGACAGGGCGGAGAGAAGCAATTTAGGGACAAAGGGGAGGTGTGTAAGGCGGCAGGGAAGGAAGAGCGGCGGGCAGGAAAGAGGGTGGGTGGGGAGAGATGGAGGGGAGGGAGCCAGGCGGCGCGGGAGGGCGGGAGCGCGGCGACGGTGCGGGCCGGGAACAAGGAAAGAATGGAGGCAGGCGCGGACGTGGGCGGCACCTGCGGTCCGGTTGCCCTGCGTCGCCGACTCGCGGGAGGCGTAGATGGAGCCCAGAACCACCCCGAACCAGAGGAGGCCCTGGCCCGGCAGTGGCATTTCTCCCCCCGCGCGGCCGCGCCGGGGCCAC